GTGCTGTGTAGGGATTGAAGCTCATCTCAGAAATACATGGGCAAGGATTCTGAAGCTTCGTCTGACATAGTTTGACCATGTTGCAAGGAGAGACTGGTCCTTGGAGAGGGATGTCATGCTTGGGAGGGTGGAGAGACAGTGCAGGAGAGGAAGACCCTCTATGGGGTGGATTGATTCAGTGACTGGAGTAATGGGGGTAGGTGTGTCAGAGACAGTGAGATAAGAACAGGATAGAGCAGAATTTAGGGCAGCTGTATATAGCGTTACTATGAATTGCAGGTGACTCAAAGGCACATAACAACATGAATTGTTGAAAGGAAAACCAATTAGCTCTGTAAACTATCATCCAAATCACAAAAAAGTTAAAACTACCAGAAATAAGAAAATGCTAAAAGTAAAGTTCCCCGGGGGAAATACATATTGGAAACTGACTACGCATGACTTTAAATTTCCTGAAACCAATTAAAAAAAAAATCTCTGAACATGATTTATCTTGCTTAAATGATAGTTTTTACCTTTGATTCTATTGTTTAAACTATACACCTAAGTCTAATATTCAACTTATTATAACATAGAACTCTTAGTGCACTAGGAAAAGGAGTCACCACTGTTTACCACAACCCGAGTTCCCTGTCTAGCAAACAGTAGGTACAATGATGTATTCCACTGGGAACATACGCCTCAAAACTAAAGATGTCGCTTTGAGAACTTTAAGAGTGCCTCTCCCAAGCATGCATTTCAATACATGTGAATGCTGGGCAAGAACTAAAATCAAGGACTAATTGATGTTTTTGTCTAACGGTGTTGATAATGAACATTGATTATACCATGGAATGCCAGAAAGGATCACTATTAGAAGTACAGCCCAAATGTTCCTTGGAAGTTAAAATGGTGAGGTCTTGTCTCAATTACGTGTTGGGAGGTGGGAGCAGGGGTGCCAAATCCCTGGAGCAGGACTGCATGCTTCATAGACAATCAGTGAAGAGGAAGATCGTTAATGAAATGAGCTTACACAGTGGCTGGGATGATGATCTCAAACAGCTATGACCATGAGGTTGGTGCAGGGCTAGGCAGTGTTTCATTGTTACACAAAGTGCAGCTATGAGTTGTACCCACTCAGCAGGCCTTAATGTGTTACATAAAGGGAAATGTTTTCCCACCAAAGATTGCTTAAGGCAGATCCAGGGTCTTCAGCATGATCATGCAAATGCTCAGGAGTAAAGAAACACAAATATAGAAAAGCCTAGGGGCTTAGGATTGAGAAGTGAGTACAGCAGTAGCCAGAAGTTTGGAAAGCCTGACCCTTCTCCCCAGGACAAACCAACTCCAACCACTGTAAAACACATTCCTAGACAGGAATGCAATTTGTATGAGAAGAGGGGATTGGGAAGAGGAATTTACAGTGGCAGGTAGCCTAAGGAGTGCTTTCTGTCCATGAAAGCCTCTTTCGGTCACTTGTCTTTTTCTTGAGGGTAGGGTCATTAAGAAGAAACAAAGGGGTATGAGGCGAACAGCAAAAATGCTGCAGGACTCATCAGGCAACCTAGTAACTATGTAAGTTCACACTTAAATATTCCTAGCATCACCGATAGTCGATGGTACACTCCAAAGAGTTAATGACTAAAATCCCACTGAAGTTTTGGAACATTATCGTCAGCAACTTAGTTTTTAGGAACAAACACCTGAACTCATACCAACAAGGTGCCAAGTCCTGGCCTTTTCCAGAGGCTCCAGACAACTAAAAAGGATCCCGGCACCAGACATTACATACTCACTGAAGTAAAGTGTAGAGGGGATTACTCTAAGTGTCTCTCAGAAGGGCAAGTCTGATGGACAATGACAGAAGAAACTCTTCCTAATAGGTAGATCACATGACATATACAGCTTACTTGATTGCCAAGGAAGTCAAGAATTGGAGTTGTGGTTTCTTCACCTCTAAGCCATCTTCCTTCTACAACTGGTTCATTTTTATTGCAGTTTTTCCTACTGTACTGTTGGTGTGCTGGTAGTTAAATATACTGCTAAACCTAGATGATACAATCCTGGCGAGATGGTAATACATCTCAACTAGATGAAGATTCCCTAGTAAGTAGGTATTTGTAGCTGCACCTCTAACACTAGAACACTTATGTAATTCTACCATGAAGGAAGAGTTTACTGGGCAGAGATGAAAAGCAGTGGGAAGACATCTGTGACTATAAAGCCCCCAGTATTTTACCAGGTGACCCCATCTTCAAGGTTTAACACAGCTGTGCAAGGTGTACATTGCATAATTCTATGTACAATGCTCAATCTTCCTATCCATAAGAAGGTACTATTTTTCCCTTTAGATCAGTCTCTTACTGTTTCTTGTAGTAATGCTTTGTAATTTTCCTAGTATAGAAGATCTTATAAAGATCTTTTGTGTCTCTGGTTAGGTTTATTCCAAGCTATTTAATCTTGTGGTTGGCTATTGGAAATGGTATTGCTTTTCTAGTTTCCCTTTTCATGCTTTCTTTGTTGCTGTAGAGAAATTCAACTAAGTTTTTATATGTTGATCTCATATCCTGCCACTCAACTAAATTGCTCTACTAAGTTGAACAGTCTTTGGGGCTTTCTATGTATATTATCATGTCATCTGCATATACTGGAAGTTTCACCACCTCGTTGATAATTTAGATGCCTCTTATTTCCTTCTCTTGCGTTATTGGCTTGGCTGGAACTTTTAATACAATTGAATAAGAGTGGTTATATTGGGCAGCCTTGCCTGGTCCCTGTTCACAAAGTGTATATTTTTAGTCTCTCTCTGTTGAGAATGATGTTGACTCGTGGCTTTGTGTACATACTTTTTGCTATGTTGAGGATATTCTCCTATATTCCTATTTTGCTGTGTTTTAATCAAGAAGTAATATTAAATTTTATTGAAGGTTTTTCCACATCAAGTGACAGAATGAAGTGGGTTTTATTGTTTATATGATGAATTACATTAATTTTAACGTTGAATCATCCTGCATTTCTGTTGAGTCCTACTTGGTCACGAATTGTTTTGTTTTATGTACTGATAGATTCTATTGGCCAGGATTTTGTTAGGGATTTTTAATCTATGTTCATGAGAAATATTAGTCTATAGTGTTCTTTTTTTGGTGATGTCTTTGCTGGGTTTTGACATTAGCATTATTCTTTCATCACAGAATGACTTGGGGACTATTTCTTCTTCTATTTAAAAAAATAATTTAAGTAGAATTGGTGATCTTTTATCTCTAACTATTTGGTAGAATTTACCCATAAAGCCATATAGACCAGGACTTCTTTTTGGAGGGAGTCTTTTTATGACCTGCTCAATTTCTTCTTTTGTGATGGGTATATTCAAGTGTCCCACAGAAGTGTGTCTCAACTCAGGTAGGATAAGAGTTTCTAGGAATTTGTCCATTTCCTCTAGGTTTATCAGATTTATCAAATTTATTCGAGTATAACTTTTCACAGTATTTGAATATTACGGGTTTACCTTTGCTGGTTTTGTTGTTCTATGAAGAGGTCTTCATCATCTCACCTCTAGTTTCACTTTCTGAATGATGTGAAATAACAAACGTTGTAGAAAGCAGTGGTCACTAATGTTAGCAGGTTTTACTGACATGGGTTCAGAATTGGCACCATGGCAGTTCAAAGACCAAAACAGGCACAGGCTCTGCAGCAGTAACAAGCCACCAGATGTGAGGAAACAGAAATGAAGATGCCTTAAGTTAGAACTGACTTTAAGTAAGTAACTTCTTTTTTTCTCCTCCCTGGGGGGTTGGGAGGCTGTTAAGAGAAACCAGTTTACAGGGACAGTTAAAGCAAATGCAGAGATAAGTACTATAGGAAGGCCAGATGGAAACAGAGAAACTGAGACTGAGGCAGAGGGAAAACTGAACTCTAAGAGTAGGGGATAGGGACAGAATTTGACGCAGAAAGAGCAGCAGATCCAGAGCAAGACAAACAGAAACATAGAAAACAATTAGCTGTCCGGTGACTTTCTAGTTCCCATAATAGCCACTTCTAATTAAAATCCAGATTACTAATCTAACAACTCCCCTTTTAAAACTATTTTAGTTTCTGATTCTTATAATCAAGCAACTATTCCAGGAACAATTTGCACATAATTATAGTTGCCTTTTTAAAAATGCTTAATTTGCTACTATGACAATATATATACACAGAGAGACACACATGCCCTACAAGACATTAACTGGGATACTGGGAAAAAGGTGTTCTTAAAAAGGAGCCAGTGTAATTCGTTTTTAACATCTCAGCTACTTCCCAAAGAGAAATCTGATTTTATGCAGCATTTATAGCCCTTATTGAGCACTTCCTTGGAGCAGATGCTAATTCTTCACCATTCACCTATTCTTTATAACAACTGGTAAGGTAGGATCTGTTATCATCTCCCTATTACAGATAAGGAAAATGAAGCAGAAAATGATATTAGGCAATTTGTTCAAGGTCACACAACCAGAAGGAGCTAAAAATTGGAACATGTATACAAAGTAATTGTTTATTTATATTAAATTTGTCTGACATTTAAAAAAACCAAGTTTTTACATATAAAAATCATCTCCATAATTTTTAAATCAAATGGCTTATGTACAAGTTACTGATTTAAACTAATAATCTGGTAAGCTAGTACATGTATTAATTTTAACTGCTATTATCCAAAATAAGTCCTCTTTTCTATGGTCCAAAAATAATAAAAAAACAAAACCACTGTCAAATTAAGGGGTCCAATTTCCAAAATACCTCCAATTTCCAAAATACCTCCTGTAGAACAGAAGGGGGGTAAAAACCTTCTGCAGTGTTTTCAATGCATCCACTATTTCTAAACTGGAATATTTGAAGATTATTTGTTACAAGTTGGACTCATTTGAAAATAAACCTTGACTTCACAGCGAAGTCTACATTGATAAATACATATCCATATAATTAATTACAGTGTAAGTTACATACACATATAAAAAAGTTAAAATGACAAGGATGAGAGCAGTTTTTCATGGAAGGTGGTGAGTTGCCATGGATTCTGCGTCTCTTGATTTTCTGAGCAGGGCTTGTTTGAGGGCACTAATTTTCTCATCAAGTTCAGCCAGTGAATAGTTCTGCTGTAAACAATAAGAACACAAATTGCTGAATAAGACTCTGAAGTGCCTTAATGCAGATAAAGTGCTAAATGAACTGTAAACATTTAAAACATGCAATAGTATGATAAATGTTAAGGTTTTTTCCCTTCATAATTCTTAGGTTGAATAACCACATATGAGAACACTATCCTAAATGAAAAGCACAAACATATTTTTCTTTGCTAAGAACTAAGCTCTCCTGGGCCTTCTGTACTTTGAAGAATCATGTACAAAAATACTTAACTGATTAGTCTCATAATCAATTGTAAAAGTTTAACTGTGCAAAATATCTGGTTATCTGTTGACATTAATTTTAATCACTTTATTCTTTTGGAGGGAAAGTATTCTCAAAAATTTACAATTAAAAAAAATAATAATAGTTTTCTGTTCTTAAAGATAGGGAGCTCAGGTGGCCTAATGGTAAGAAACTGTGCTGCAATTCTAAAGCACATGGTTCAAGCTGCCCTGCAGAAGGATGGGCAATGTCCTCTTGTGTGATTAGCTGCCTCTGAAAGCTTACTGGAGGGTCAGGCATGGGTTGGATTTGATCCAATGGCAAACAACTCTTAAGAAAAAAACAAAAACTATTTTAAAGCCATATCCTCAACTTAAAATTTACACTACTACCATCAAAAGTACTGATACAGGCGTCTGATACAAAGGCCATGGTCTTTGCTGTCACTTGTTATGCATCAGAGAGTTGGACAATGACCAAGGAGGCTAGAAGGAGAATTGATGCCTTTGAGCTGTGGTGCTGGAGAAGAGTATTGAGAATACCATGGACTGCTAGGAAAACAAACAGATTTGTCCTGGAAAGGGTTAAACCGGGTGGCTCCTTGGAGGCAAGGAATCTGAGGCTCCGTCTAACATGTTGCACATGTTGTAAGGAGGGATTGGTCCTTGGATAGGGACGTCATGCTTGGTAGGGTGGAGGGCAGGTGCAGGAGGGGAAGCCCCTCTATGAGGTGGACTGATTCAGTGATTGGGGTAATCGGATGGGAGTGTCAAGAGACAGTGCATTTGGCACAGGACAGAGCAGAGTTTATGGCTGTTGTACATACAGTCGCTATGAGTCGCAAGCAACTCAATGGCATATAACAACAACCATTAAAATCAAGAATCAAGTGTATTAAATGTATATCCAAGTAATATAAAGTTATTGATAGTTTCAATCTGATCTCTGTCTATTGTGATGCTGTCTACTGGTCCAGTGTCATAGATTTTTGTTGATAATGAGATGTAATCCATATTGGAGGCTGTAGTCTTTGATTTTCTGTACCAAGTGTTTCAAGTCCTCCTCACTTTCAACAAGGAAGGCTGTATCATCTGTGTAATGAAGGTTATTGAGAATCTTCCTACAATCCTGATGACACAGTCTTCTTTAGAAAGTCAAGCTTCTCAGCAGACATATTAAACAGGCATGGAGAAAGGATGCAGTCCTGACACACATCTTTCCTAATTTTAAACCATGCTCTGTTTGCACCACAGCCTTGATACTAGCAGGCAGATCAGGAGACTTATTGTACTATGAAAATCTGTAGTAAAGGACCTCTCCAAATTACTGAGTAGCAATGATGTCAGTTTGCAGACTAAGTTGCATTTGATTCAGGCAATGGTCTTTTCAGTCACTTGCTATGCATCTGAGAGCTGGACAATGAATTAGGGATAACAGAAGAACTGATATCTTTGAATTATGTTGGAGAAGAGTGCTAAATATCCCACACACTGTCAAAAGAACAGGCAGATATATCTTGGAGAAGGTGCAGCCAAAGAGCACCTTGAAGGCAAAGATAATGTAGTTTCATCTCATACACTGAGTATGTTGCCAGGAGAGGATATTCCTTGAAGAGGGAAACCAGGCTTGGTTGGGAAAGTACAGGGGTGGCGAAGGAGATGAAAAACCCTCAACCAGCTGCATTGACAGTGACTGTAGTAATGGGCTTGAGTATGTTGGAGATTGTAAGGATGGACAGGATAGGACAGCAGTTATTATCTGTTATTCACTGGGTGGCTGTGAGTTGTACCCGACTCGATGGCACTTAACAACAATCACTACAACAATTATTAATGGTTAAAAACTTATGAATTAAGAATCAACTATTTAATAAACAGTAGTACATTGGAAAGAACTGGGCTGCAGCCAACTCCTGCCAAACACATTATTATTGTGACAATCCATAAAGGGCCTATAAAACAGTTTAGAACTGTTCACTGGGCTTCCTGGGCTATAATCTTTATTGAAGCAATTACCAGATCTTTTAACCCATGAAGCTACTTCTTGTTGTTATGAGGTGCCATTAAACTCACAGCAACCCTATGAACAACAGATAGGAACCTTGCCCTATTCAGAGTCATCCTCATCATCCCGAATCTACTTGAACCCATTGTTACAGTCACTGTATCAATCCCTCTTGTTGAGGGTCTTCCCCTCCTTCACTGACTGTCCCCTCCCCACCTTTCCAAGCATTATGTCCTTTTCCAAGAACAGGCCCCTTCTAACAATATATCCAAAGTATGTGAGATGAAGTTTACTAGCCTTGCTTCTAAAGAACATTCTGGTTGCACCTTTAAGACATACACTTGTTCTTTTGGCAGTTCATTAGACATCCAGTACTGTTCTCACAACTCAAAGGTATTGAGTCTTCTTCTATTATCTTTATGCACTGTCCAATTTTTATATGCATAGCAAGTAACTGAAGACCAAGGCCTGGATCAAGCACACCTTAGTCCTTAAACTAACATCATAGCTTCTCAGAATTTTAGAGAGGTCCCTGATCGCAGATTTTCCCAGTGCAATATGTCTTCTGATTTCCTTGCTGGTCTCAGGGGTGCTGAATGCGCATCTAAGTGAGATAAAATCATTGACCATTTCTATCTCCTCTTTATGTATCATGATGTTGCCTATGGGCGACTAGTGGGTTTTAACTGCCAAACTTTACATTAGCAGCCCAACACTTAACCCTGTATCACCAGAGCTTTTTAATTAAGATTCAACTATTTAATAAAGTATAGTATTTTGAACTTGAAAGGTATCCTAATGTCCACCTCTGTCAAACATACTCAAAAGCTGCTGCCTGCTAAAGAGTGTGATGGCTAGGTGTGCGGAGGGGGGAGGTGTTAATGGCCTTGTATGTCTTGAGCACTTATCATTTCTAAGCATTTTGACAATGATACTTTCTAAAGTAGGATAAAATTTTGGATCATCTTAATCACTCCAAGTCCTAGAAAAAATATTACGTATCTAATCCATTATTTATTTATTATTAATTTAAACATTAATTTATGCTCAACTTTTACTGAGTCCTAAATCCCATGGTCTGAACTAAAGGCAACCATAGTAGAAAATTCTATTAATATGACAAGTATAACATGATCAAGTTATTTCAGAAATAAAAATAAGAAGGCAATGAGTTAACTTACTTGAGGTGGTTGAACTTTTCTTCTTTTCCCAGTAAAGTTCTAGATTAAAAGTAAAGAGAATGTAAGTAAGTATTCAATGCTTAGACAATCTAAGCATCACTTCTTTGGCTGAATAATGATCATGATTTAGCCAATCAATGAATCAATTTTGAAGACTGCACTGCTGTTAGATGGCCTATTTTATAATTTCCATACTGCTTAAGCTAATTCGAGTAAAAATTTCTATTAAGGCATACAACATTCTCACTGACAAGGTGCTAAAACATTTAAAATTTGATCTAAAAGAGCAATTCTAGGTTGTGTTTTTAGTTTCAGTACACAAGAAGCTGTTGAATGGCAAATTACGATACAGAGCTAGTCAAGCCACTGATGGCAAAATTTTCTCAAATGCGCATTCTTAACCAGTGAAATCTGAAAGTTTAGTAAAGCTCACTATCCATTTGTGTTGAGGTATCCTTCTTATCCCTAGTTATGTTGCTGTTATATGAAGAACTGACACAAAGCAGGCCCTCCAGGGAATTTTCAGAGGCTGTAAACTACATAAGAGGAGACTGCATTTCTCCCACAGAGCAGCTGGTGGGTTCAACCCAGGTGTCTTTAGACTGGCAGCACAACTCCTTACCCCTAGGCCACCAGATCTATATCCCTAGATCTAGTAAATGGAGAATCACTGTGTCTTGGAATTATTAAATATGGGGAAATCAAACTTAAGACAAATACACTCTTTGCTTTGCCATCTTAAGATGGATCCTGTGGTAATAAGGCCAATGGGAAGGTAAGGGCTTAACGTTTAATTCAGTTGCTACTCAACCTCCTACCTTCCAAAGAAGTGGCTTTTTTGTACATCTCATCATAATTTACTTCCCACTGTTTTAACAGTTTAGCCTACAAAATGGTGATTGTTTCCACATCATTAAACAATGAGGTTACTACTAAACCATTAATCCAAAGAAATACCAGAATAATAAAAAAAAAAAATACATCAGGGGGCTTGATAACTTTAAAATGTGATCTTAAGAGGTCAAGCAAATATTCTGACACATCTACTGTGGATATTCATGTTTTTCTCCAAGGAACAGCCCCTCCTAGCAACATGCCCAAAGTATGTGAGGTGAAGCCTCATCATACTTGCCTCCAAAGAGCACTCTGGCTGCACCCTCTCCAAAACATATCTGTTCATTCTCTTGGCTATGTAGCATGTTAATGCTCTTATTCGTTGGCTTTACTGTGTAGAATTTAATGATTACCTACAGACAGACTCTCCCATTTATTCTAAGTCCTATATTTCTGATATTTCTATATATGACTGTATGACTTCAGTTCATTAAAAAAATTCATTGCCATGCAGCCAGAACTATTTTTATCCTGAGGAGATTCTGGGGCACTCAAATCATCAGAGAGGTGTGGCCTTTGTGTTAGCAGCACAACTCCCTACAGAGTAGGGCACTAGAAACTCTCCAAAATAACTTCATTATTTTATTTCTGTGAATGTTAGTGTCGAACTGTATCACTTTCCCAAGAAGAAACCAGATTCACTGGATTCTGTATCTCTTTCTATAGCCAAATAATCAAGTGTCATGTTTTCTTTGCTATTATCTCTTGCATTAATCCTCGTCCCATTTTCATATACCTAGTTCAGGGTCTCACTTAACATCTATACAAGTTAAGTGTCTCCTTATCCCTTTCATAAATCACAATCAGAGAAGGGAACTGTGGCTGCCTAGTGGTAGAAGTTGCACTACCAACACAAAGTCACATGATTTCAACCTGCCACCTGCTCTTCAGGAAAAAGACAGGCAATCTCCTCCTGTGTATATACAGCCTCTGAAAACCAGCTGGAGGGTCAGCTGTGAGTTGGTTATGATTCAATGGCATGTAACAACGACAGGGATAATAATGAAAAAGCTTGAATAGGAACAATTTAAAGGTTTATTGTTAGGGAAAAAGTCAGAGAACCTTTATAAAGTTTTCTAAAATTCTAGAAGTAGAGGGACATCTGTAATTATGTAGTATAGCCAACAAATTTTCCAAATGATAAAACCGAAGGCCAAAGGAACTGAGTGACTTATTAGTATTTACATGGCTACTTCATAGATACACTTTTGAAACTAAAGAAATTAAAACAGGTAGGTAATATTTTACTTACTGTGCTAAAAAACTGATTAGCATTAACTCCTTTAAACCTTGGTTCAGTAATCAGTACTTTCACAAGTACTTCATTTTACATAAAAGAAGTAAATCAATCACTAAGTCTTCCTTATAATTAGAACTCAATGCCCACTTGTTATATGACTAGCCATCTTTCTCTGGAAATAAGTCATTTCTATATGACTTCAAGTCATTTCTATATGACTTCACTTTCAGCTATAACTGTGGAAAGATTATTGCTGTACCTAAAAAAAATTTAAATATATTTTTACCAATTGATTTAATTCCATATTAATATAAAAAGGGAAACTACTTTCCATAATTTAAAAATAAAACTCTGTGTAAAATCTCACTTTTATATTATAGTTCTAACATGTCATGCTTTAAAAAGGAAAGTAAGAGAGTGTGTCAGAGTGAGTGTGTGTGTGTGTGTGTGTGTGTGTGTCAGACTAAAAGGTCAGGTGTTATAATAGATATAATCACCTGAGAAGGCTGAGGAAAATAACACCATAATTTAAAGATGGTATGTCAAAGATCTTTGTCAAAGAATTAACCCATAGTAACTATCTTAATGTGTTTTGGGGAACAAAGGTTAAGAGTGAACAGTGAATGCATACATTAATGCTAGAGCTGAGGAATTAAATACAGGCTGGTCTTTCAAAAGTCTGGGTGGCTAAAGTGAGGAGTAAGGTACAGGTGGTAGCTAGAAGATAAAGAGACAGACCTTCAATGAGATAGATTGATGTAATGACTGCAACACCAGAATAGGATATGACAGATTTTGAGGTTCCTGCAGGATAGGGTGAGATTCCCTATCTGTTTCTGATAGGGTGACTAAGAGTCAGAGTCAAGTAAATTATATCAAGGAGAAATGAGAACATGTATATGGACTGAGGTCTATGAAGAGAAAGGGATTAGAGACAAAGGGGGAACTGAAAAGAGCAAGGGCCTAGAGGAAGTTTCTGAGAGAGCAAGTTCAGAGTGGCAGGACTTCTGCTGAACATGGCTCACATTTCAGAATCTGAGTAATATATAGGAAAAGTATTGATACTTTGCAAATATGAATCTGTAATGTAATACTAGGAAATTTTAAAGAACATGGCAATCTCCCTGAAGAAGACTGTGTTCACAAGTAAGATTCCTAAAAGAACATTTTTTCTGAGGGTAAAATAATAATTTTACTAGCATTTATTTCAAAGTTGCATCTCCAATGGGATGGATTTCCCTCTCTAAAAGGAGAGAAATAGAGGAAAGATCCCAATATTCATATTTTAAAAAGACAATTATACGCAACTGCTTCTCGGCCTTTTGGCTAAGATCATGTGTCATATCTGTTCTTATCAGTATAATATTTGACACATCCTCTATCCGAGGACAAAATATTAAATGGATTTTTAGAACTAAAGGGAAATGGAAAGAATTTGTTCTTGAAAACTTTGTAATCAAATTTTGTAAACTAGTAGAAAATTTTAAAAAATGAGATAATGGGCTACTGCGGAGTTAAACCTTCCTCAACTGCCCTCATGACTATCACTATTGGTCCCAAGCAATAAATATTTGTAAAACTAAAAAAAAAAAAAAAAGGTAATTATACTCACTACTGATAGGAAATATTCTGGAGAGATGCCTTCCAATTCAAGAATTTTATCTTCAAGTTTCTTAATTCTTTGATAAATGTCTCTTGGTACTGGGCCACCTAAATAGAAAAAAAGCACTGAAATCTACCATCTAATTCATCTCACAATTTTTATAATTAAAATGTCATGCATGTATATAAAGGAGTTGGAAATAGTTAAACATAAGAAAATTAATGAACAAAAAAAACCTGAATAAAATCTTTAATTCACATTTCCAAAATGTACTTTATGGGATAAATTTATTTTAAACATCTTCCCCATCCCATTTACATTTCCTATATTGATAGTTTTATGTTAAATTTATTTCCTAAGATACTGAAATGGCTCCTTTTTAGAACAATTTACTGCCTAGCGATAACTAGCTATTCAAGTCAGTGGTTTCAATATGTTAATATAAATACTTTCCTCAATTTACAATTGTCCCTACTTAAGTTTCTCCTTCAACTTGGAAAAATATTTAAGAAGGCTTCACCATGGTAGTGAATTAACTTTCTGAGGGAGAAAGGGAAATGGTAAATTAAGATCAAATTTTAAATATATTATTATATCTAGGATCGTTCATTTCTCACACATTTTGAGCATGTTGCTAGGAGAAGTTATTCTTTGGAGAGGGACATGTTTGAAAAGGTAGAGAGACAGCAAGAAGAACAGTAAGGCCCTCAACCAGGTGGACTGACACAGTGACGGCAGCAATGGGCAATGTGTCTGAGATCGTGAGGATGGCAGAGGATAGCACAGGGTTCAGATCTGTTGTTCACAGGACATCTACAAATCATACTTGACTCAATGGCACCTAACAATAACATGTCCCTAAGGGAGCTCTGGTGGCTCAGTGGTAAGGAACTTCACTACTAATGCAAAGGTATGTGGTTTAAATCTACCAGCTGCTCTGCAGAAGGAAATCTCCCCTGTGATTTATTGCCTCTGAAAACCTGCGGAAGGGTCAGCTATGAGTCGTTTCTGACTTGACAGTACAGACAACATGCTCCTATGTAATCTGAACATTCTCCTCAGACATACATTGCACCAACCATACTATCTGTTATTTAACTAAGGCAAACTTTAGCACTTGGCAGTTCCCTCTGCCACCATATTCCCAAGGCTTTCTGTTGTCAACTCCAGATTTTGGCTAAGAGGCTTTTCTCTTTTACAAGTAGGCTTTTTCTCACTAAAATCCATGCCATCAATTCTGACTTACCATACCATCTCCTCTTACCTAGCATGCCCCTCTTAATTACTTCCAAAGCATCACTATCAATTTATGATGTATTTTATTTATACACTATTTCACTCCCCCACTCTAAGTTAGGTCCAAGAGAGCAGCAAGTTTTATCTGTTTTATTCACTGGGTACACCTTCGCAGCTTATGCACTGCAACCTGAGGACACTTAAATGCCAGTTTATAAGCTACAGTGTCTAGCACAGGGCAAATAGTCAAAATTTACTGACTGAATACATAATTCCACAACCATATGTGCTTAAAGAATATGAACAAATTTTCCTATCAAATATATAAATTAAATTTAAAATTTAAGAAATGTTTCTTTTTTAAAATCTCAGAACTTTATTCTTATTCTAGAGTAAAATATATCATTTTACCCATAAGACTTGTCTCTTGCTCTTTCCTTTATCTATCATGTCCTCTGCCTCATGACTATGCCTTTCAAGAGCCAGTTCAAGACTCACTGTGCAATGAAACCTTGGCTTGTTCACCGTATCCTTCCTTCTCAGGCCTTTTACCATCCCACTTCATTATCAGTACATCTCCTTGCAATTAGATTATAAATTCCTTAAAGTCAAGAGAGTATAATTATAGTTTGTCTCCGTGGAGCCTAAAATGGCATTTGGCACATAGTAGGCATTCAATACCTGCCAATAAAACCAACTACTTGAGTCTATTAAAAATGTAACAAAATACTTTGTTGTTGTTGTTATGTGCCGTCGAGTCGCTTGCGACTCATAGCGACCCTATGTACAACAGCCCTAAACTCCGCTCTGTCCTGTGCCAATCACACTGTCTCTGACACTCCCATCCCAATTTTCCCAGTCACTGAATTAATCCACCTCATAGAGGGCCTTCCTCTCCTGCGCTGTCCCTCCACCCTTCCAAGCATGATATCCCTCTCCAGGGACCTGTCCCCTCCTCACATGTCCAAAGTATGTTAGACGGAGCCTCAGAATCTTTGCCTCCAAGGAGCCACCAGGTTTAACCCTTTCCAGGACAAATCTGTTTGTTTTCCTAGCAGTCCATGGTATTCTAAATACTCTTCTCCAGCACCACAGCTCAAAGGCATCAATTCTCCTTCTATCCTCCCTGGTCAAATCCATCTACTTCTAGGGAAAAGGATTAATTTTTTAGTATCAACTTCTTATTATCCTCAAAGGGTTACTCATTCTCTTATGTTCTTCCATTTCCATCTACCACATACTTCAATTATATTTTAAAAAAATATGCTCATTTCTGTTGATTCAAAACAAGACTCAGCTGACTCTCCAGCTGGTCTTCAGACTGTAAACTGTACAGGAAGAGTGTTTCGATCTTTCTTCTGTGAAACAGCTGGTGGATTCAATCTGCCTGCTTTTCAGGTGACAATTCAAGTCCTTACCCACTAGGCTACCAGAGCTCACTCCAGCTACTTTCGTCCACTCTAATTGTCAAATCTGAACCAACTAATAGCTGACATATACACAGCTCACTATCCTGTTGTTATGTGCCTCCTCCAGATTAACACTGTTGTTCTTCAGTACTCTGGAGAGGTCCCTGACAGCAGACTTTCCCCAATGCAATTTGTCTTTTGATTTCCTGGCTGCTGGTATGAAGAGTGTTGATTGTGGAGCCAAACAAACTGAAGCTATTAATAATCTCAATCTCTTCACCATGTATCATGATGCTGCCAATTGGCCCAGAGGTGAGGATCTTTTATTTTCTTGATGTTGAGCTTCAATCCATATTGACCTTGACCCGCAGAAAGTGCTTTAGGTCCTCCTCAGTTTCATCAAGCAAGGTTGTGTCATCTGCATAATGCAAGTTGTTAATGACTCTTCCTCCAATCCTGATGCCACTTTTCTCATAGAGCCCAGCCTCCCGGATTTGTTCTGCATATAGATTGAAAAGGTATAGAGATAGACACATCTCCCCGGCATACACCTTTTCCTGATTTTGAAGCATACAGTATTTCCTTGCTCTGTTCTGATGGTTGCCTCCTGGTCCAAGAATAGGTTTCATATAAGCACAATCAAATATTAGGGGATTCCCATTTTTCTGAGAGTAAGCCTCATTTTGTTGTGATCCACATAGGTGAATGCCTTTGCATAGTCAATGAAACACAGACAGATATTCTTCTGGCAGTCTCTGCTTTCAGCCAAGATCCATCAAACGTTAGCTATAATATCCCTAGTCCCATTAACTCTTCTAAAACCAGCCTGCCTATCTGGCAGTTCTCTGTCGATGTGGTTTACCAGTCATTTTTGGTAATTTTCAGCAGAATCTAACTGCATGTGATATTAATAATATTGTTCAATGATTTCTGCACTCTGTTGGGTCACTTTTCTTTGGAATGGGAACAAATACCGGTCTCTTCTAGTCAATAGGACAGGTAGTCATTATCCTAGTATAAGAAGTTTTCTATCAGCTATACTAGAATCAGAAATTCCCTGAACCATACTTTGTGCTCTGTAAAGTTTTTAGATAGTTTCCTAATGTTTTTCTCCTTTTAAAAAATTACTATTGATACCCTAAGATCTTATATGCCATTTAATCAAAGACCGATTGGCCTCTCATGAGGTCTCTTTGAACTATGTCCAGAGTACACTTTGCATACACATATGAAGGTGAAAAGAACAGTTCACTCAGTATCTGAGCACTTGCTTGTGTGAGGCACTGCAATGGGCACAGAGTAATGGGCATGGCAGACAGAGACTCTACTATCTACAGCAAAGAGAGACATTAAAGAACAGTTGTGGTTATAAAGGAGGACAGTGAGTATCAGATATTACCAGACTTCATAAAGGAGAACTCTCATTGATCTCGGATTAGGAACAAAAAGCACATGCATTGGCTGAAATAGCAAAAAATGGCAGGAGGTGGCAAGCCCAGCAATATGGCTAGAACTACAAAGGATTAACTATGCTATTTAAAATTACAATCTCCTCACCCTCCAATCTCCATTTTTCTATCTTGGTCAAGTTGTTCTTTTCATAGCCGTTTGCCTCTACCAAACAATTTCTTCATTATTTATTCTATGTTTCTCCTAACTAGAATATTTGTTCATATATATTAGCAGTAACAGCAACAATAACTAGAACAGTATCTGGATTATAGTAGGTAATAACTATTTGTTGAACAAATGAATAAGTACTAAGTTGGTCCACATTTAGGGGCAATAAGAGAGTCATTAAGATTTATCCACTGAGGAGGAATAAGATCATATTTGAGCGTTAGAAAGGTCATTTTGGCTAACGAATTGAGAACGGTCTACAGAAGGAAATCTAACACTGCAGAGAACAGCTGATACCTTTCTGTTAGTATAGAAATATCATAATGTCTTCAACTAGAGCAGATAGAGGAAGTGAAAGATCAGAAATATTTGGGTAACAAAATCAACAAGACAAAGGACTAAATGAAAAGGGAGATGCAGATTGTTTTAGCCAGTTAAGATCAAAGTTTCAATTCCACCTGTCACTTAATACCTTAGACACATGGCTTGGGTTCTCTGAACTTCTGTCTCTTCATCTAGATAATAAAAGCACCAACATCTCATGAGGGTATTTCAAGTACTGAGTCAACTAAGTCATGTTTTTACCATAGCCAGCAATTCTTTTTGTTAGTGACCCTGAGTCAACTATGACTGACAGCAACTCTGTGAACAAGAAATCTGTCCTGCACCACCCTCACCATCCTTGATACGCTGGAGCCCACTGTTAACATCACAGTGTCAATCCATCTTGTTCTTGTATAGTACTGATTTACTTATATGCTTAATTTCCCTGATGCTTCCTTGAGGACCAGATCACCTTTTAAGAACCAGAAGTAGTCATGGTATGTAATGAAACTGGTGGCAGAAAAAGATTAAGTTTGTTTTCAAGTGTAAATTGAAAATGCCAGTATCTATTCGGAATCTGTAACCATCCTTCTAGTGTCCTGTCAATTTAAAACAGTAGTCAGGTGAGTGAAAGGAAGAAGACCACAAACAAGAGCTCTAACTTCCTTGAGAAGAGATCATGCTTTATTCATCTTGCAACTAGAACAATGCTATATACATGATAAATGCTCAAAGACTATTTGGTGATTAAACGCATGAGAGTTTCTATAATATCTTACAAAGGTACATAAAAGGGTACCAAGCTAGCACGTTGCTTACCTGTCTGCAACCGCAAATGAGCTTCAATGTTTTGAAGTCTTTCTTCTACAGCCTGGTTACCACAATCTCGAAGCATGCTGTTAGATTTATGACTTGATCCTTGAACTCCTTCAGGCCTAGTCTGTGGGCCATAGGTATTCACAACTCTAGAAACTAAGAAACTTTTATTTCAAACTTTTGAGCTCTGTCTTTCAAAGTTTAGAAATTCTCTTTCCTTCATGTTATTTTTGTGCTGTGACCCTAAAGAGGAGAGCTGCACTACTGTCATCCAAGTCGTTTCTCACACAGTGGCTGCTGAGTGCAAATCTCTAACCTTCTGGCTAGCAGTCCAATGCTTAACCACCGCCTCACCAGAGTTCATAACAGCACTTTATTATGCTTTTCACTATCTAACCACAAAGCCAGAAATAAAGAAAAGCAAGATTTTTTTGCTGTTGTTTTAAAATAAACAAAGTTGAATGGGAAAGTAATTTATATTCTGTTTTGCTAATAAACTAGGATAGGCTTCTGTCAGGGATTAAGATAAAAGGATGTCATTACATACCCTTTACATGACTTTTAAATCCCGGGTAAGGGGTGAAAACAGCATCAGTTCTGGCACAACTATTTTCTGCGGAAAATTTAGATAACAACCTTAAATATATTAACGTTGCTATATGAGATTTTGTGCATTTCTGGTAGTTTATATTAATTAATATTAAATAATTATAGCTGGATTGTCATCACCTACAATATAAACTCTAGTGACTTTTTCTTCCCTCTAAGACTTAAAATATCTAACTTTCTTTTCTAATTTTCAGATTTACATCTACCAAAGCCTTCATATTTAGGTGGCATCACTTACTTTTACAATGAAAATTCCCTATCTCTAAAAATCACCTTGGTCTTTGGGAAAGTAATTTATGTATTACAGAGAATGTCTTATTCCTAAGTGCCAAAGGCAGTATTACTTCATTAAAATACAAAAGTAATTATTTTTACTGAAACATCTTTTTAAAAAACATCTAGAATGTTTTCTATTACTTGCGAATCAAATTATTGTACATCTAATAAAAACAACTATATATATATATATATATATATATATATATTTTTTTTTTTTTACAACTATATATTTTAATTGATACCTTTCTATTTCAGAATGTAACACACAAAAAAAGTCTGGAGATAACTAGTAAAAGATAACCAGTCAAATGTGTATGAGGATCCAAGGAGGGGAGACGAGGAACAGAAGAATGAGGATGGGCAGGGGGGTAATCACAGGGTTACACAATTTGGTGGTTGGAGGGATGAGTGAGTAAAGGGAATAGAAATAATCAGGCGGGGATCTGGAAAGAGTGTGTGGTTCATGTTGATTAATTTTATAGAATATAATGAATGGGAATGATTGTATCAAACACAATGTGAATGATGGATAGTGTGAAATACTATGTATATGAACTTTGAAAGCAAACCAATATAAAACAAGAGATTAAAAAAGAAAAGGTCTTAAAACCTGAATTATAACACACTTTTCCACTTTACCTATATTTTCAATGCTCACTTAAAAAGCACCTAATCACCAAAGCTGTGTAACTTTCAAAAACTCAAGTTTAGTAAAAGATTTTATGAAAAATGTTTACATTTTTTTCTCAGCTAAAATGTATAGTGACTTTTTTCCAAATTAGCTATCAAGTAACAAGTTTAATAATATATTATTAAATAAAGTTAAACCAAATAGGAAAGTTCAAAAGGTATTAATTGAATATATAAACAAGTAAAATATTATAGAATATTTAAAATAACATTAAGTAAAATCATGCACTGGCAAAAAATTTTCTGCACAATTACCCTTCAGTCTCTTTTATAAAAATGGATGGTAAAGTAATGAACTCAAATGCCTTTTTCCTATAAAATCTGATTGATTTTTCCATCAATCCATTGTTTAGATTTAAATCAAAATGTGAAGTATTAAAAGAACAAGTAACACATTATGATATATTTGCATTTATCCCCTCTAAGTTTCCTTAATACTGATAAATCAAAATGTGAGTGAAATTCCAAATTCACTTATCTTTTTTAACCTAGATATTAAACAAGTCACTTTTTAGAAAAATAGCAAAGCACCAAACCCCCCACAAATATGTATAAAGGGCTATCATTTCAGGCTAAGGGTTAAAAAAAGAAGCTATCATCCATTCCAGAGCTATATTCCAAATATCTAGATTAACTTGACCCATCAGTGAGAAATTCAGCATGGTGCGAAGGCAGTGAATGTATGAGTGCTAGTCACTCTCCACAGCAATTCTTGCTAGCACTGTTTTGAGCCAGCGAGGGATTGAATGGACCAAGGAATCCTGCTGAGCATTTCAATTCTTGTCAATTTCTATCCCCTGGTGGTTTATAATAATAGAGTTAGCAGGGGGAACAGAGGAATAACATTAGTGGCACATGTGCTTACTCTCTCAACAAACCTTTTCTCATGGGCTGCTTGCAGTTGGATTGTAGTACCTGAGATTTTGCCAAGGCTGCACCTGTTCTGGAAAGCTAACAGAAAATATACCACACTCAGAAGGATGCACGTATAACATTAATAGTGGAAACGCTGAGTGTAGGGATCCAACTTAACACCATTATTTCATTATTAAGAAAATAAGGTACCAGTGTGGTATGGATCTGTCAAGATTTGTCTGATCATTCTCTGTTTATATTAATTAGCAAAGAGATGTTAGAGGGGGAAAAAATTCATTCCAATTATCAATTCTTTTTCCTTATTTTTCCCCTAAGGCGTACTTGTTCTGATTATTATTATGATGCCCAAGTATGATCTACGAAATAGTTGGTATTCTTCAGCATACCTAGAGATCTATAAATGTACCATAGCATCATATAGAGAGGAAAAGGAGAATCTGATAAAAATTATGAACTGTGTAAAAGGAAAAAAGCCCCAAGTCATGTGTTCTTCATGACAATATGTTTTATCTTGATACAAAACATTTCAAACAGCTCAGAAGTAGTAAGAAAACTGCTCCCTCTTGAGGAGTACTAACTTTACTTTAAATTTTAGGTTTTAACATCATGGTTTCATAAGTACATTTGTGGGCTTGAAAAGTATTCAGTTTAGTCCCTTCTTGCTAGTGAGATCAAACCATGCCACACATACTTTAGCTACGAACTTTGAAATAATCTTTTTCTTCTAGTAAACATTAGTGTTTTGATATTACATTAGTGGTTTTTTATTTTTTTGTGTGTATGTAACCAAAATGAAAATGGTTTTTGCAATATCATCTATTACCAAAAAAGAAGAAAAATATGCTACCTTTGTTCCTAAACAAACCTATGACAAAACTGTAAAAGCTGTGCTTAAGTGAAAATTCACTTCTAAGTGGTTACCTTGATTACAATCAATAACATTGCAAAACTCTCTGACGTTGTTTTCATTGATTTCAGCTTGCTTTCTTTCAATAAATGCAGATATTCGTCTGTCAATCTACAAATAATATACAAATAACAATTAGAAAATTATCTGGAGGAAAAAAATTATGGTGACTCTCCCCCCCTCAAATAAAACTTCTTACTTCTGCTTTGCCAGCCTTTATTTGAACCACTTCTGGATCAAAATGGATCTTTGGTTCTTTTACATCTCCTAAATCACAATCTTTGTGCTTTTCTTCCTCTTGTACGTCACCAAGGGGAAGTGTGGCATTTTCTTGATTCTTGTGGTCCATTTCTGTTTTTCTAATCTCTTCAACAGCAGCTGCATTCTCCTCTTTAATCAGAGGTTGAAGTTTTGCTAAAAAGGGCTGAGAAGAACATAATTCTATCCACTGGGGTTCAAACTGAGCAAAATTAATTATACATTTAGAGTATTTACAGAAATTTTTGCTAACTGGATATACATTTAATGTGAATTACTAAATACAGGAAGTAGGCACATCAAGATGTATAAACCTGACCACATATAAGTATTTGTTGTTCTCTGCTATACTATTACTATTTGCTAGAAATTTGTTTTTAAAAAGAAAGAATGAATAAAGGAAACCTGAAGAAATTTTAAATCTTCTTTGAGGAAATCATTCTGTCACTCATCTTTTATTTTGTGGCAAATCAAAGCCTCAGTCTCTGGCACCAATGCCACTTAATTAACATGTCATTCAAATGCCTCCTCAGAACACTAAGGCTTAGTATTTTTCCTCTTTAACAGGAGAGCCAGTGCTCTCACTCAAGCCCTGCATTAACACTATATCACTGGAGATTCTCCACTTGAAACGGCAGTTGGCCAAAGTGAATGAGAAAGCACAGACATGAAATATATAGGTGTGATGTTGAGTGAACACTCAGGCTTTTCCTGACATGGCAGTTATTTTCTTGGTCATGAAATTAAATTTTTTTTAAAAATACTGGTTAAAAAAAAAATCCTTACCAGCATTCATAGCGGAATATAGGTGCCTATAATTAAGGATCCCTGGTAGTGCAATGGTTAAGCATTTGTGCTAACCAAAAGGTCAGCTGTTTTAATACACTAGCTGTTCATCAGGAGAAAGATGTGGCAGTCTGTCTGCTTCTGGAGTAGACCTGTAGGGCAGGTCTACTAAGCCCTATAAAGTCTCTACGAGTATTAAAGGCAAGAAATGTTCTGTTGTATAATGTAAATTTGTTGCTGTTGTGTACTGTCAAGTTTGAACCAACCCATAGCTGACCTTTTAGCGAGTTTTCAGAGGCAGTTAATTGCATGGGAAGAGACTGTCCATCCTTCTAAATGTAAATCATACTACCCGCTAACCCACCACTCCTGCCACCATTTAGGCCTCACTTGAGTTCTATACCTCATTTGTTTGCTTTTTAAAACTAGGGTTAACTATTACTTCCAACATGAAATAGTTACATTTTCCCAAAGTTACTGAAGGGTTGACTTAAAATTAATGTCTATTCCATTTTGCTTCCACTGTTTGAGTAACCAAATATTCTTCTGAAACCTTCAAAGTAGTAAACTGGCCAATTCAAATAGTTCTTCCATTTCTGACATTACACAATTTACACTGACGAGATAAACTGTCACCTTACATCAATTATAATTGCAGAGATACTCAATTAGACACTGGCAAGGTCAAAATATTGTTCAGTTACTGAAGTATTAGAAACAATAAAGAATTCAGTGTCAAGTTTTGCTAGAAAGAATGAGTTATTTAAAATTGTTAAGTAAAAGAAAGGTGAAACAGTGACTGGCTACTTACTAAGATGAGACATTAATGTCACAGAAATTACTTTCTTTTTAAAAACTATGCTGAAACTGTTTAATTGCAATAGACACTCCAGGATGTGTCATGCTGGGATAATGCCACTTCTTGAACCACTGAAAGCACTCCATGAGCCTCCAAACTCACCCAAGGCATGGAATCATTATCATAGCATGACACACACCTGCCGTGTCTTATTGCTTAATTATAACCCACCATAGATGGAAATGTATTGAATTTTCAATGCAAGTCTAGAATTGAATAGAAATGCACTCATTCAGTCTTCATACCAACATTGGCCTATTGGGCTATATTCTTTTAACTCTCCTGATCACTATGTAAATTAACAGATTTGGATCCAATCTGGACAGATGTAACCTTTTATTAATAACTCTATTCATATACTGTTAAGATAGAACTCATAAATGCCCATCCTATCATCTAATGACAATTAATTTCTATTCTCAATATCAAGTTAACATGTCTATTAAGAAATTTACCTGTAAATATAAAACGTGTTGCTCAAGTGCACTGAAGAGCAATGTAGGCTGGAATGCAGAGAGGCTCTGGAGCTTGTTCCAATCGATTGTAATTTTCACCACATCATCTTTGAGATTAAGCTTCAAAAGGGCAAACCAGCAACATCACAAAAATTACATGATTAAACTGTACATATGGGACTGACACACACAAAAGATTTCTATAGAATAATGCATGCTTAATTTGTTCCAAGTTTTTAATCTTATATAAAAATATCTAGTTATAATTTTTAAAGGAAAAAAAAAAAGTGAAGATTTTAATACAAATCCAGAATGATACTTTGTTCTAATTCTACTCTTAGGTCTGAATAATGAGACCATCACTGAGGTGAAACCATTACAAACAATACAGGTTCTTTTGATACTTCAGTTGTAGAATCTTTGGATATGGTCCAAGGCAGGCCTGCTGTATTCAAAATCCCACCATTTGTAACCCAGATTGTTAAACACAGGAAGTACAATACTGCAGTCTAATAGGAACATTTCCTTTTGATAGGTAAACATGTGCACACATACATATATACTTGAAATACGTATCATATGATGTCTTCGGAAGCATATTTTTACAACTCTAATTAAAAAAATTAGAACCAAGAGTTTTCAGACATATAAAAAGGCAACATGTTTGCCTACTTTAAATAAAAAAAATAAAATTAATTGTGAAAGATCAGTAACACACACACACACAAAACCCCAGTGACATTAATGGCCAGAGCATGGATGGAATTTTCAGATATTTTGTTAAAGACTATTCTATAGTAAGGTGTCATTATATGAAAATTTCTTATAAATTGGAAGTGTATGATCCGTTAGAATTATACCCAGTGAATGATCAAGAATTTGACTATATAAAAATCAGTAAAAATTTTAGAGTGCCTCTATCTGTAATGTCTGCTGAGTGAATGAAAGGTAAACAACTATACACATTTTTAGAGGCAAATGTTTCTAGCACACTGTAAGGATATACTTAGTAGACGCAAATTAAGGAAATCTTTCTAAAAATTAGTAATGCTTTCCACAGATTAAAGCCTAGTGTTGCATGACTTCAAATGTAGATCTTATTAATGATTATATCAAAATGATGTATTACTTTTTAAGGAACTAAAGAGAACCAAAGAAAACAAAAAATACTACATCGAAAGAAAATGGCAAGACAGAAATGTACTGCTTGTGTTTGTTTTAGTTTTTATTTAATATTAAAAAAGGAACAGCTAAAGTCCATATTAGACAAGTGTAAAGAAATAAAAGTTGAGCAGACTCTACTAGCTAATATTCATTCTTCTTACTTGATATTACCTTAATACGTTTAATAAATATTTTGTTAAAAATAACTTATGTGTGGAAGTAAACTAGTCTACTTTTACAGTTGACAAAAAGATCTGTACGTAAAGATAGCAAATCTATGAATATGGTTTGGAATTGAAGTAGGTAAATCCTTGGCCAAAGAAAAGCATCATAATTTTCAAGAGAGAAAAAAACCCAACTTATAGAAAATCTAAATGTTTGGGTCATATTCTTATTTCAATTCAACAGAATTATGTACACTTTCAAAGTACAAAATAGATACTTGGCTTGTCAAGAAAACTATACAGCATAAGGAATTAACTTTAAAACTATCTTTATCATTCAACTATTCATTCAACAGATTATGCATTTTTACCCTTTAGATTTTGTATTAGGCTATCATTCACCCCAAAATGGTATTAGTCTGCTATTAATAAAGACTTAAAAAATGTATTTTTCAGTAAAAATTTTATTACATTAATAAAACAAGCTAACGACAGTAATTCTTCAGCTTGGTAAAACAGACATTTGGAGGCAAGCAACAAGGTTGAAATTAGCAAAAGTTAGTTTTTTTTATTTGGGATAGGAAATACTTTTTTAACACTTTATGCTTCCTATTGAGAGCCAGTAACATAATGATTTTAGGCACAATTAAGAATGATTTTAGACAAACAGTAACAGTAATTTAAAATCTTTTAACTTGTTGAAAAAGGAAGTAATGATTTCTCTGCGGTGACTTTATAAGTATTTAATACTTTAGTTTTTATTCTATTTCATGTCTCAAATATAAAAAATACTACGAAAATGGCTAATGGCAAGTGAGACTAACCATTTTAGAGATCCCTTCACTGTGTCATGTAAATTCATCAAATATTTATTGTAAACATTTGACAGAGATGCCAGATTTTAATCACATCTGCCTGTACCTACAGAATACCTACCTAAATGTTTACAATCTGTGCAAGAGTCTGAAAATAGCAGAATACAGAATTTTTTAAAAGTTTTAATCATTCCACAATTTTTTTTAATAGTTCACCAATGAATCAAAAGCACTTTCTCTAGAAGAGCATAATTTTTTTTCCATTCAGGCATTATTAGAAAATAAACAAACTTTTAAGATACAATAATCACACCATAAAAATTTAAAAAGAATTTCTTTAATTTTTAAAGCATTTAAGTCTAGTTTTCAGACTAAAATAATGAGTTAATCAAGTCTCCAAGTTATTAAAAATGAAGCTTATTTTGCTAAATCCTTGGCAAATAATCTAGCTTAAAAGATATATTCTGCCATTAGAAGATTCCATTAATAATGGTTTCCTTATATGTTCTTGATAATTAATGACAAAGATACTAGCGTTAATATTGAAATAATTTTTAACAATTTGTTCTCCCATACACCCAAGGCTTTGAAAAAATAATTTCAAAAAAAGTAAAATGCTTTATTTTCAAAGGAATTTACATTATCTTTAACAGATGTCTGTGTCTACTTCATTAAATACATGATTACTCGTGCTACAACAAATTATTATAGCAAAAAAGTGTTTCACTTAAGAGACAAAAGAAAAGCAGGTAAAATCTTTTCGGGGTGTTTTTCATTTAATATTTAAACTATGTACTACAGAACCAGAAAATGACTAGATCAGAGTAGAGGGTAAGGAGCTCATTTCTTTCTTTCAAACTCCTTTCTATCTGCGTTTTACGCCAAAGTTACTTATCAACTACTTAATTGAGTAAAAGAGATTAATTGATGCAAAGAGATGAACTGTGGGGAGTTCATCTAACTTTTATGTTGTTTACTTTAGGCTTATTCCTTTTCTTTTCCTCCGTTTGAAAGAGTAATAGATGCAGATGTCCAGAAGAGAAAAATACAGAACTCCATGACTTATAACAGAAAATAAATAAAAAGGTGGAAAGCGAGTTGTTCCAGAATCTCAGGCCAACTGCATGCAACAACGAACTGGAGATAAAGCACCGAGCGCCAGGAGTCTCCCAAACTCTTAAAAGAAGCTTTTCTGCATCATTCTCTCCAGCAAACGGGATTTCTTATACAGTCTTCACTACAGACAGCTACAAGGACATGTAGTTTGCAAGCGATCGGTAAGGCCTTCCTCCCCTCTCGGGACACTGCAGGGACTCAGGTTCCGCCCTCGGCCAGGACAACTCCCGCCGCAGCTCCCAGGCCCCTGGGCCCCCCGCCCTTAACTAGAGAGAAAGGGGGGAGGGGCCGTACAGCTCCCTTTCCCGACTTCGCTAGGCCACTACTCACCTGTCCTGCCAGGGTGATCAGGGAGCGAAAGGTTTCGAAGAGCACCTCTCGGGAGAGATTGGGGCTGCAGCTTCGCTCCAGGCTCCTGTCACTGCTACTCGGGCAACTCAGCTCCGCCGCAGCAGCCATGACACCTTCGCCCGCAGCCCCCACCACCGAGGTGCGTTCACGCCCCCTCCCTCCAGCTTTCGGCGGGCGCCTGAAGATGACGTAAAAGCACAGCGTCTCCTTTAGATCGTGGTTTCACAGGCCGCGCCATTTCTATCTAATTGGCAACCACGAGGACCTATCAGGCGATGTAGCATTGAGCCTAGAACCAGGAGCCTGCAATAACCGACCAGAGCAGGCCCGGGCTGAGTGTTATATTGCAATTACTGGTAAGACCTGGGCTGGTAAGGCTTACTGCAGTAGGACTTATTAAGGGTTAACGTCAGGCAGCGAAGAAAAAGTAAAGTCAGAAATGAGGATATGGGATAAGTAGGGAGCTCTGGTGGCCGAAGTCCTTAATGAGCTGAGCTCCTATCCTGGGGGCTTCAACTCTTTGGCTGTGGGAATCCACCATCAGCTGAGAGAGAAACACGTGCAACCTCCTCCCATGCTGTCTACAGCCTCTGTTTAATGGCAATGAATTTGATGGAGCATAGGCCTAGTTGTCCCCATTGCCATAGGAACTGAAGAGCTGGATGGTGACAACTACTGTTATCAAACGTTCTAATCAAAGGTTCTGTAGCTTTTGGATCAAAAGAGAGGAATGCAGGACAGAATTTAAAATCCTCAAGAAATCTAGGTATCTTGGAGATGGCTCCAAGTTTGGATGAATCTCAAACTCTTGCTCTGGAACAGTCTTTAAACCTTAAACCAAAAATATCACCTGAATTTACATCTGCTAAAAACCAAGCAATAGTTTCACATAACTAGTAAACAATGTTTGCCTTGTGTTTTTTTAAAGAACTTTCTGTATGTGATCAAATTGCCAGCAGTACCTACAATGATTAGATAGGAAGCCTGGTAAACAATGGTGTTTATCTTAATGGTGGAGAGAAAAAATTAGAGGTTGCACACCTCTAAAGATGTAATCAATATCACTAAATAGTATCTGTAAAAACTTTGAGTAGGTGTATACTGTGCTATGGAAAAAAGAGTATCATGAAGCCTTAGATGTTCTTTATGAATGTTAATGAGACTTAACCGTTAATGTTGGTATGTTAGCCTTAACATAAAAAATTGAAATTCTAACATGGCCATAGAGTTTTCTGAAGAAAGGCCTGCACTTAGGTGTAGAGCAGTATCTACATGGATTTCTAGATGTAAGATAACTCTTTAAATTAGGAGTATCATAACTGGATAGAATGTGCTCAGCTCTAAAGGGTGCTTTTGTGGCCTCATAGTAAAGGGTTGGGCTGATCAGAAGCAAGTACTTAAAATCTACCAGCCTCTCCATGGGAGTCAGATGAGCAGTGTCCTCCCTTGGATTCTGATAACCTGCAAGAGGTCGGCTATGAGTTACTTCTGACTAAAGGGCAGTGAGATCAAGTTTGATTTTCATGTGCATGTTGTGGGAGAGGGAGGCTATAAAAGCAAAAGTACTGCATTATGGCTTTATTTTTCTATCAAGGTAGAGACAATTGTTGTTGTTGTTATGTGCCATCGAGTCGTTGCGACTCATAGGGACCCTATGTACAACAGCCCTAAACCCTGCTCTATCCCGTGCCAATCACACTGCCTCTGACACACCCATCCCGATTACCTCAGTCATTGAATCAACCCACCTCAGAAGGTCTTCCCCTCCTGAGCTGTCCCTCCACCCTCCCAAGCATGATGTCCCTCTCCAAGGACCTGTCCTTCCTTACAACATGTCCAAAGTATGTCAGATGAAAGACAATTACCTGCAAAAATAATTTGCAGTTTTAAAATCTTGTACCAGTAACTATTTTCTGGGTGGTATCATTGAGGCATTCTACCCTAAAATTGTTCAATTGTTTTAAGGAAATGAAACAATATGATTCCAACAGGAATTTAACTTACGTAGGTAATTCTATCAGCATAATCTTTGAAATGAGAAGAACATGAACTAGAAATAAAATTGGGCGGATTATTATCAGAAAGTTTTATTATCAAGAGGCTTAAAGATCTTTGTAATCTTTTATACAAAGTCCATCGTTTAAAACATATTGTCTTGTCCAGCCAGTTTAATGATAAAGAGAGAGAGATTTAAAACTCTTCATTCGAATTGTTTAATGCATTTACAGTAAAGGAAAACAAAGGTGGAAACTTGTACAGTGTGTATTCTTCAGATTCAAAGTAGGCTGAATAAAAGCGGAGGTATAAAGCATCAAAGAACTGGGATAAGGGTAATAGGGATAAAAGGACCCTTTTGACCTGTCCCTAGGGAGCCTCTTAATGATGCTTTCATTTCCAAAGACTTGTGGGATTGCTAGGGTTGACAGAATCTTAAGAAATCTTGCAATAAAAATTAAAGATAAAGCCAAGAAATCTTGATTATTCCTGTTAGTAGACAAAACATGTTGCGGATAGTCCAGTTTATGCCTCCAGCAAAAGATTTCACAGTATCTAATCCCAAATTAATCAACCTTCTTGCTCAAAATCTCTTGTCCCTTTACGGCATTGAAGTCTATGGGGGAGAGAATAGTCTAAAAGTATTATATTTTAGGGCATTATTTTTATCGTAGGAGTATGCAATGAGGGTTGCAGAGTGGATTATATTTGGGGGTAGGGGGTGGGTTTGGGGGAGGTGCGGGGGGGGATTGTGTACCAATGAGGGAGTTTTGCTTTTCAAGGAGAGGAGCAATTGGGGGGGGGAGGGGTTTGTGCGGGGAGAAGGGTGCAACAATGAATGAATGGAATCCCAAAATCTCTGTAGATGTTCATTGAAATGAAAAATAAACAACCTAAATTAAAAAAAAAAAATCTCTTGTCCCTTTACCATGTTATAAATCTTTCATCCCTTTACCATGTTAGAATATTTTATTCCCTCCCCTCCCGTTCTCTTATTAAAGAATAATATTGCAAGGGGTAACTAGAAGATTTTGTTTCTTTAGCACTTAGAAACCAGTTTCATGTTATATATAGTATCTAGGTATGATTTCCCCCCCCCAAAAAAAAATGTGGAATACTGGTACCAAACACATTTGCAAATAAAACTAACAAAAAAGATTTTCTACATTAAAATATGGAAGACGGAGTGGCATCCACTTCCATAATAGCTTGCTCCAGAAACCCTATGAACCTGGAGAGAGGATGAAAGTCACACAAGCATGAGAACTCTCTTTCATAGGGTCGCTATGAGTCGCCTCTGACTCGACGGCACTTAACAACAACAACACATTAAAATAATACCATCTTTAACAAGATGCTGCTCATTCTTTTATTTGCTGTCACAGATTTTAAAATTTGATACTTCATTTCCTTCAGCCCCTAAAACAATTAATTGAGGACCATTTGATTTGCAGTTTTTCAGTTCTCTTTGTAATTCTGTTTGGTATCTGGGCTTTCTCTTATAGTTTAACTATTGTTTACGTAGATATTAGGATTTATCAACTCTTTTGTGCAATATTTATTCTTTTTGAGTTCTTTCCTTTTTAAAATTTTTTATTGGCTTTCAGACAATCATTCATATGCATATTTTATACAGTCTTCATTTACATTGTGTTTTGTTCATGGACATTGTTTTATAGAATCATTCAGTTGTTGTTAGGTGCTGTCAAGTCGAATATGATTCATAGCGACCTTATGAACAACAGATATGAACCCTGTCTTTTCCTGTGCCATCCACACAATTTCTGACACACTCCAGTCCATTGCTACTCCAGTCACTATGTTAATCGACCTGGCTGAGGGGCTTCCTCTCTTTCACCATCCCTTTTTCTTCTTACCTTTGCAAGCTCGATGTCTCATTTCAAGGACCTGCCTTTCTTATCAACATGCTCAAAGTATGTGAAATGAAGCTTTGCCATCTTTACTTCCAAGGAGCATTCTGACTGCACCTTCTCCAAGAGGTATCAGTTCATTGTTTTGGCAGTCCATGGGATATTCTATACTCTTCTCCAACACCGCTGTTCAAAGTCATAATTCTTCTCTGTCATCCTTATTCATTATCTAGCTATCAGGAGCATAGAAAGTAATTGAAAAGACCATGGCCTGAATCACCCTCACCTTAGTCTTCAGACTACTAACATCATTGTTCCTTAAAAATTTGGAGAGGTCCCTGACTACAGACTTTCCCAGTGCAGTATGTCTCCTGATCTCCTGACTGCTAGTACCAAGTGTATTGATTGTGAATTCAAATAAGATCAAGTCACTGACAGTTTGAATCTTTTATTCATCTACTACGATGTTGCCTATCAGTCCATGTGTTGTTGTTAATTGCCGTTGAATTGTAGATGACTCATAGTGACATAGGAACAAAAGACCTGAACACTTGTTTAACTTTCATTGTTTCTCTAAATTTGTAGATTTTCCAGAGGCAAACTATTTTGGAAGTGGATGCTACTCCTGCTTCCAAACTTTTTTTAATTGGGAAGCTCCACCAAACACTGTCCACTATGGGTAACCACTATCGCATTTGACACATCAGTGTCACAATGTTTAGCATCACAGCAACCATGAGTTACCTCTATACAGACCAGTGCTATACTGCTTAGTATAATCCAGGTGGATGTGTCAGAGACAGTGCGATTGGCACAGGACAGAGCAGGGTCTAGTGCTGTTGTACATAGAGTCGCTATGAGTTGCAAACAACTCAATGGCACGTAACAACAACAACCACCTTATCAACAAAAAAATGCTGTTTATAATGAACTTTAAAAGCACAACTCAATGCATTTTACATCCCTAATAATCGTTTATTAAGTGAATGATAATATAAATCTTTTGTACTGCAGAAAAGGCAAAACATTGATCTTCTTTGGCTTCCCATCACCTGCAGAGTATATCCAAGTTCCTTAGAGTGTCCTCTAAGACTCTTTATGACTTGACTGCTGTTTAAATTTTCTGCTTCATTTTCTGCCATAAAGATCATCTGGTGTTTAATGTTCCCCAAACTGCTCTAACTTTATTATAGCTCTTAGGTTTGCTTGCCTCCATTCTTTTATTCATGTTTTCTAACTCCAGTTTACTTGGAAAACTCCTATCCAGTTTAAAACACCAGTTCAGAAAGCTTTTCTGAGAATTCT